GACTGAAAAAATATTCTAACTAGTTCACAGTACTCAGAACTGCTATCTAATACACAATTCTTGCCTCTGTTGTATGATTTAAGTATAGGAAAGAAAATAACAGAATTCATGTGGTAAGGCTCCAATTCATTGCAGTTGAAAATTAGCACTGCGTGCTTGAATTCGAAAAGTAAATAAGGCATGCAACGAACGCCGATAACGTATTACACTAAGCCTCTTAAAGTAAATAGCGTGTTGCCCTAGAATTGAAGAAGTGTTATACGAAATCCAGTTAGTCAACATTTCTTTGGAATTTTCCATTAAAAATACATAAATGAAAGCATGAGCTTTCACGAATCCTAATGATTTTAAATGTTAATCTCTGGATCCATGAAAACAGACAGACGACTTATACACTTCTCAAAACAATTAAAGGATATTGCGGTTTTAGGTGGATCTTGTGGCTGGGAAACATTTTAGCTGATTGATACATGGTCGACAGACGTAGTAGGTTATATGAGTATAAATTACACATGTTTGGCAGAAAAAAATGCATTTTATTGCGCATTTGTGTACAAAAGGAAAAAAACACAATTTGTGCATATGAGAAAAAAGAATAGGAAAAGGTGTTTTTTCAAAGGAAATCATTCAGTAGGGAGTATGGTTTCCACGGACGGGCAGCACGTTGAACACCATTGAGCATGGAGTCAATGAGGCTATTAATCACGAGTTGGGGTATTCTGTCCCACTCTCCGGAAGACTTTTTCCAGTTCTTGAGAGTTTGTAGAGGTGGTTGGCGGCCAGCAACTCGTCTTCCTAGAGCGTCCCAAACGTGCTCTATTGGATTCATGTCTGGAGAACACGCTGGCCATTCCATTCGTACGATTCCTTCCTCGAAAAGGAAATCCACCACCAGGTTAGCACGATGTGGCCTGCACTTATCGTCCATTAAAATTAAGTCATCTCCGATTGCTGCAGCGTAAGGGACTACAATAGGTTTGAGGATCTCATCTCTATATCGGCGACCAGTCAGAGGTCCATCTCGAATGATGTAGAGGTCTATGCGCCTGTCAATGGAGATGCCACCATACACCAACACTCCCCCACCGCCAAATCTGACACTTTCGTGCACGAACGCAGGATTATTTCTACTGCCACGGTCCCTCCAGATGAAAATACGCCTATTATCAGGATGAACAGAAAAACGGGACTCGCCAGAAAAAAGAACATTGCTCCATTCATTTCTTCTTCAGTTCACATGCTCTGTTGCCCACTCCCTGCGGTCGGGACGATGCCTTGACGTTAGTCTAACACATACTATCGGTCGGCGAGCACACAGACAGGTTTCGAACAGTCTGAGTTGGAACTGTGGTGCCAGTAGCCGAGCGAAGGTGTTGTTGGAGAAGAGTAGCATTCATATTTCGGTGTCTCCGAGCCATTAACACTAAATAACGTTCATTCATTGGGCGTTGTTACCCGTCTACGACCTTGCCCTGGTGTTTGGCCTGCACTTCCAGTTTCCAAAAATGGATTCCAGATCCTGGAAATCACACTTTGTGACACTCCAATGGCTTGCGCTACTTCGGCTTGAGTTTGGCCCTCTTCTAACCTACCAACAACTCTCCAAGCTTCTGGATCGGTTAAATAACTTCGCTGAGACATCGTACTCATCGAAACAAAGCAGTCACTGAATGCCGATTATCCTTGTCTTCATTGTCTTTTATTCAACTGAAAGTCAAATTTCATTCACTGCAGCTGAAGCGACGTCTTTGACGTCAAACTCAAAATTAGCATACTCCACAGTTTGAAAATCAGAAAAATTTGCATTTGTGATTCTCTTCTTCCATTTTCGGCAAAAAAAATTCTCTTATATCTTTATTTTATATAAAACTTACAATATCCTTTAATTGTTTTGAGCAGTTTAGTTCCATCTTAATCTCTCGCTTAGGTGATTCCAGTGTAGATGAAGTTTTAAATAAACTTTTTATTAATTCGTCTGCCTAACTTCTATACAACTAGTATAAAAACAGTGTTATTCCGCTGCTTGCAGGAATAACAGAACAAATGTTAAATTTAAATATTTTATTTACCAGACAAAGTGCGTCTACAAGCTTTTGTTCAGACCCTCAAATCTCGCCAGCAATCATGACTGGTAAAGTTAATGTCGATTCCAATAACTCAGACGGTGGCGGAAAAAAGTAGCGAGACAATCAGCGCAGTTGACAAAAGCTCTTTCTCGAACTCAAGCACCCTAATACAATAACTAATTTTAATCTTCGCAGATGAAATTAGAAGTGACATTAAAGGCAAAATGAGGTAAGTAGTCAAATAAGTATAAATCTTACAAGTTTTCCACGAACAATAAGTAGCAAATAATTTCGCTTTCGTGATAGTGGTGAAACTCAACAAATATTCTATAAAATGTTGAAAAATAAAAGAATTTAAATAAAATATACAAACGTGGTCCTTCGATGCAGAAACCATTGTCATAATACGAGAGGAAAATATGTCATCCAATTTAATATTGTGGAAACACTTTCCGAGCCCTGCGGTATAGAAACCATCGTCATAATATGAGAAGATATGCCATCTGGTTTAACATTATGGAAACCTTTTTGCAATTCGGATCCTTCGGTATGGAAGCTATTGCCATATACGGCAAGAAGACATGCCATCCAGTTTAGATTTGCGGAACACTTTAACAATTTCGGCCTTCGGATACAGAAACGTATTCATGTATCTTATCACTAAATGCACGATTATTGTTGTACTTTAATATCATACATTGATGTTTTGCTTGCTGTCATGTGTAGCAACTTATGCAAGATGTCTTGTAATCATTTTTGTAAAGTACTTTTCTGTGACATTCCAGATTAAGAGCAATTAATGGTGTTTTGGTCTTTCAGCCACTGCCTTGTTGTGGTGGCTGCTTGTTGTTTTTTCCACATCAGGCATCATTCCGTTCGGTTATATCTCAAGTCGAAAGCCTGGTCAGTGGCGCATAACCATAACCAAAGAAACCATCGTCATAATACGAAAAGACATGTCATTTGGTTTAGCACTATAGAAACACTTTTACAATTCGGGTCCTTCGGTATAGAAACCATCGTCTTAATACGAGTAGGGCATGCCATCCGGTTTAGCACTACGCAAACAATTTTACAATGCAGGGACTTCGATTTAGAAATCATCATCATAATACGAGAGAAAGGCATCCATTCGGTTTGTCAATATGGAAATATTTTCTCAATTCGGATCCTCTGATATAGAAACCACTGTCTTAATACGAAAGGAAAACTTATCATCCGGTTTAACGTTATGGAAACACTTTCTAAATCGGCCAACTTTCTCTTCCATCGATGCTTCAACTTATTGAACTTTCAAAGCACAAGAACTAGGATTATGAAATCCAACTGTTTGCATACATCATTCACTTTAAACAGGTGCCAAATGGCTACGGTTGCCAAATGGCCGTACTACTTAGAGTAAAAAATGAATTTAAAAAAGTTTTCTAAATCACACAGTTTTAATTAAAAACACTAAAAAGTGAAAAAATATTTTTACTTTTATCAATTTTTCTAATTAAAAAAATAATTTAAATTTTTGTAGTCATGAATTACTACATTTATGATTAAACTTAAAATCATGAGGTATTAATAATGGTAAATTATAAAAAAATGTCAAAGAGAAATTATTATTACGTTTTCCATTTTTATGTTTTATTTTTTTATTAAAAATTCGTTTTATTTTCAGTCAAATGTTACCAAACTAACAAGACAGCTAAAAATGTTCTTTTATTTTCTCGAGCATTTAATTAAAATAAACCATATAATTAAAGAAAGGTACATTTTATTTTATACATCGATAGAAAATACAAAATTTTTTACAAATTATTTATTCTGAACGTATGAAAATTATTCCCTTTAATCAGCACAGCAATGAAGCACTGCACTGCAGCTCTTTCCTTTCAAGATCTTCCCATCTATCTAATAGTATGTATGTGTATTCAATTCATCTCGGTTCCTTTTTCATATTTTGACTTGCAAGTCTCTGATTGTAAAGAGCCAATCCATCAAAGGGGCCAAAAATAGGTGTATTACAATAGAAAATGACATTTAATCAAAACTTCCATTTAAATAAATTTAACTCAGCTTTGGAGGCAACTCATTTTGGCTTCAGATTTTGTTTGCTAATGAGCCAAATGTCGGTAAATTGATTCCGTGAATATCTCTCCATCTTAACATTTTAACCTGTTGTTATTCATGACAAAATAATTTCTCATAAAATTACACAAGGGAAAAGAAAGAAAGAAATGTGTGAATATACTTATAAAATAATTTATGATAAGAACTAATATTTGTAATAAAGAAAAGTCTGTCACACCTTGCTGCCAGCATCAATTCTTGGATCAATTCTGTTCCATCAAACTTAAAAACTTGATCTAATAAATAGCTTGACCATTATATTTGCGTTCAGCATACAAAAATCAGAAAAAGTTGGTTGTTTTGTTTCAGATGCCATTTGGCGTTTCGGTGTTACTTACCGGTGCCTGCAGAAACTTAAATAACCTTAAGAACTACGACTACTAATGTATTTACTGACTTTTAAGAGTCCTAAATTTCAGTTCATTACGACCTCGTATTCCTTGATAATAGTTTTAAGTAAAACTGTATGCTTTAAATGGATTCCAAACTAAATTTGGAAAATTATTTTTCGATCTATTCGATGGTTCAAAAATCGAAATTTTGCGAGGATTTGTTTGATTGTTAAACAAGGATACGTAAAAAAATCGTAAATGTCCCTCCAACATTAAGAAATATCCATACCACATTCTGAAAACAAAAATCACTCGAAAATATTACATTATCATTGCAAACACATATGTACACAAAATTTTGAGAAAATGAGTTTAGTAGAAGTGAATCAGAAAATGTTTTCGATTAAAGCAATCAGAAATGAACTTGAACAAAACCCGTCTTAGAAGCTAATATAAATAAAATGTAAGAAAATGGTGGACTTACCAGGCCATCGCATGTTGACAAAGCGGCATGAGAATATGTACCATTTCCAACAATGTTACCCTGGAAGAAGCAGTGTCCTTTTGTATGATTGGACAGCCCGATACGGGCCATTTTACCCTTTCTTTCCACAACCATACCAGGACTGATGAACCTGTGGTTAGGCCTCATCTGCAATACAGCTCGCTTGCCCTCAATATGCACTTCAAAGTGGACACGGTCTTCTTCCACAGACCTTGCATAACGGGAACCTCTATGTGATTGCGCATAGTGTCTCACATCATGGGAAAGAAAATGTCCGTCTGATGTTACCTTGACGGGTTTAACTAAATCATAGTTGAAAAGTTCATTGGTCAGGAACTCCGCTGCAAAGAAGAAAGAAAGATGCTTAACATAAAATTAAATACTGGAAACATGCTCATACAGCTTACGTCATTGATTTGAAACTGGCGGCCACTGAAGCAATTTTATGAGGCCCGCGAAGACGTTTCAGTTTATAAACTCATTGCAAATATGATGTTGCAAAGAATTCAAGATTTATTTAAAATCCGAATTACATATTTTCATTATCATGTGATATAAATCTCATTCGAAGACGGAGATTTTATTAATTGTTATTCATGCTTGTCAAATTTACTTAGAAATCACTTACAAATTTCTGCACTAAGAATAATCGTTTTTATCGGGAATACATTTATATGTGAACAAGTTTTTTTTTCATAGTTGAAAATTAATGCGAAAAAAGCACAATTGATCGATGAGCATCTACCATCCGTTATGAAGATAATTTTTCTCCATGCCTACAAACTTTATTAGAATCAAAACGCCAACAATTGTCCAGGTGTAGTAAGAAACAAATTTTATAATTATTTACATACCATATGTATGAATTTTTTTATGCGTCGAAGAAAAGTTTAATAATTGAAAGAGAAAGATTGTCATTATTTTCCCTGAAAGTTTGTCCCATTTGGAATATTCTCTCTGAGAAAGATTTCATTATTTGTTTCATTTTAATTTTAATTTAAGAAATTTATTAAAAATGTTAGAGTTATTTGAAATAAATGTCAGTTTGAAAATTTAATATTTGATTATCAGAATATTTGAATTATAAAATGTAACTAACAGGAATGTCTAGGAAACAGCAAATTTTAGGTTTCGGATAGAAAATAAATACAAATTTGATTTTTTGTGTGATATTATCATTATTATTATTATTTGTGTGTTTGATTGATGTGATGTATTTTGATAAATATTTTGTAAGCTAAATTCAAAATTTATTTAAAATATTTTTATTTGGTTCTAAAAGATTTTAATGTTTTTAAAAAAATCTAGCCTCTCAGCTAGATTTTTTTAAAATAATATTGAAAGAAGAAGAAGAAATATAAAGTCTGGTTTTGATTACCGATTACTACCCTGACATTTTAATGAATTTCAACCTATCTTAAATGAGTTACGGCAAGATAAACCCGCAACCAGTAGCTTAAAAAATGGATATAAAACCGCAATTCATTTAATTAAAATGATTCAATGTCCTACTTCATCGCAAAGCTCAGCTTGACCATTAACCTTCAAATAGCTATGCTGCACAATGGCATTTATAAAAGTCATCTGAACTGGCGCAGGAGACACAATAAAAATTAAATTTTATAGCTAAGCTTGCAAACATTCAAATTCAGTCAGCATTAAAATCTCTGCCACAGCATATCTTGTAGAAGATGCCGATATTGAGAACACTCAATATCCTTGAGTGGAAAGAAGGCCCCCTAAGGTTTACTATTGGCGATTACAGGGCACCCTAATACTTAGCATCTTTAACCCTAGATCTTCCTCTTATTTTAAGTGGAATGTATCCGCGCTAAGTTCAAAGATGTTTAAAGGACCTCTTATCTCTTCCGATAAAAAGAAAACCCTTTGAAAAGTAGATTTTCCCTTCCCTTTGGGGGTGAGGCGCAATTCTAGCCAAATGCGAAGATTGCTGAGAGGTCTTTTCTTCTAAGAGGTTAAAATAAAACCGCTTCATAGGTTCGCGAACACTATCCTACAGTTGCCAGTTGGTCTAGGAACTTTCTATCCATTTTCCATTCCATCCAAGAAAGAGGGAAAATCCCACTTGATCACATGTCGGGTCAGCGTATATGACTAAGTCATATTATTTAATAAAATCATACAAGTTATCCACAGCTGTCTACTCATTACAAATTATCCAGTTGTCATGAACAGTCTTTAAGTAGAGTAGAAAAATCCTGAGCTCATTTCCCAACCCAAGATCAGAATGCTATAATACGAACATAAATTATAACATCTTTCCCAACAAGTGCTGCCTTATTATTACCATTACGTAAACTATCAAATTCCGCTGCGATTTTTTACACTGAACTGAATTTTTTATTAATAATTTCATCCTATGATAACTTCGATGAAAACAGAGTGTAATCTATGATTCCAAAATTATGGTATTAGATTACTGTTTCATTATACATTTTATCTTTATATGAAAATAAAATACTGAAGTCAAAATTGTTGAATTTTATTTCAGATTATTGGTTTGAGCTATTCATTTATTTCGGCTTGATTGATGAAGACCTGTCCTTTAAAAGCGAAACGTAGCTTTCAGAAATATGTCTGATAGTGCAGTCAGAGTATGATCTAAGCAATGCAACAGATAAAATAAAATTTCCCTCTCAGCGCTAATGACAGTTACTAAAATGTTACTCGAAGCATCAGCGATCTTACAGGAATCGAACAACACATAGCGTCTCAACGAGTTTACCGGCGAGATGCTCTTAATTCCTAACAAAGCGGTTTGGTGGTAATGTTGATATCTGTGGGGAGGGTCGTTTAAAAGACTGCGCTGACGGAATCCCAGAAAGTTTTCTGGGATTTTCTGGGATGTAGATGGATCCCTTATTGGGACTGAGGCCTAGGCAATTCATTTTTCTTCAAAGTTCATAAGGGCTTTGCAATTATACAGTGGGCCCAGTCTTCATACCTCGTGACAGTGGAATCGACTCCAATGTTTGATGGATAGATTAAGATGACAGAGAAGCAGAGGCTTCTGCACACTGACTGTGCGTGGGTTGATTAATTCATTGCAGAAACTGGGTATCAAAGCCAGGCACACATGTATCTGATGACGATGTTATTCTGTACATAGTATAAGATATCTGCCAGTTTATGCATAGATATACGTGGTCCTGCTGTGATCCGCACTCGAACGCCATCATAAATGAAGTCGCTATTTCCATCCAAAAAGTGCAGGAGCAATTCCCGTGTAATGCAATAAAGTGGAATGTGGAGTGGTTTAAATTCTTTTCAATCGCATTGAAACATTGAAACCACTTATGAAGCCGAAAAGCAGACATCTGCAGGCAAAGGACTTATTCAAAGGCGAATAATCATTCAAGAGCTAGAATATGCGTTTACATTTAATGCACTCTCATCTCCTTTTTTCACATACACCTATAATATAAATTTCAAGAATTACAGATAAAGAGGATTTTCTCTGAATGATGAAAAATCAAAATTTTCTCAGTGGTTAATATATAGCTATGTATTTGAAATAGTTCGTATGCGTAAAAACAAAGACATAAATAAACAAATATGGATCTCAATGATCGCTCTTATTTTATAAAAAATACACGTAAGTACAAAATATATCAAAATTGTGAGTTAGATAAACAGTCGCTCGTATAAAAATTTCCACAGAATTCCAAAGAAATAAAAAAATTAACTCATTATTTCTTACTTTATTCATTATCTTTGCTTAGTAAAATTATCGCAAGTAAAATTTACAAGGAAATGAAATCAAATTGAAAAATATTGCATAGTTATCTTTAAAATTAGAACAGGAACATTTAATCAAAATAAAATGATACCATTGCTATAATGCCAAAAACAGTTTTATGTATGTCGCTGATAGAATTGGAGCAGTTTTGAAGAAAAAAATATCCTTCATTGCCACTAGACGTCATATAAATACTTTTAAAGTAAGAGAAGCTAACGCAGACTATGAATGGTTTGGGACTTAACGTTGTGTCAGCTTCCAACAACGTTTAAAAATTGAACTAGAAAGATTCATGTGGTTCCGACTTTCAGAATCGTGTGAATAAACGAGGTCATAATTTTATTTCGTAATCCTCATATCGATTTTTTTTCCACTTTCTTGCTTTTAATCAGATAAAACCAATCTTACCTGCAAATACGATAAAATATTAAAAAGTATTTATTACCTTCACCTAAATTAGGTTACATTTCCGAGCTAAGCTCTAAGTCGCTTAGTCCTTTACATTTGAAATGAACGGATGTAACTTTCTCTCGGCAGCATGTAAATTGATCTCACACAGTTTATTAAACAAAAGAATGAAAAAAGAATTGTAAAGAAAGCTTTTTAAGTTCGTTTTCCTATTTCGTAAAACCTACTTACCATAAAAACAAATCTAAATTAACACTCAACCTATAGTCTGAAATATGCACTTACAGATTATCTTTCTTCTTGTCTCGTAATCATGGGAACGACTGTGAAGGACACATTACAATCATAAATGAGGGGAGGGGTGGTAAGACCTTGAGTGTCTATATTAAGTAACAGAGTGTAATCAGTGATAAATTCTACCTTAGAATTCTGAGAAACAGAACTGAAACCTTTTAAATTTCTCTACCTTCCAAATCGACACTTTGCTAATTTTATGTAAAAAATATAAAATACAATTTAAAATTAGAATTAGAACTCAAAGAACAAATGCAATGTGATTACCATATTTTAAAATATTTTGACATCTTTTCTTTCCCTTTTAAAAAATCTGTGAACGATTTAAAAAATAAAAAGTTCTCCAATTTAAGCGGCTTAGTTGTGTTCGATAGAGTGAACACTTGTGAACTCAGATAGCTTGTTCTGGAATTGTGTTCCTGGCGCAGACAAAATTGCGATTTTCGTGATTTTCCTAGCAGGTATAATGGCCAATATTTTGATATCACTGCTTATATGATTTCTTAACAATCTCTTTATAACCATTTGATAGGTCCTGCAATTTACATCATTTGTTACTTCCGTCTACGAGGTAACGGAAGTACAGTAATCGCATTTCGGTTATATTTCAACGGAAATATCCATTTTAACCATTCCCAAATCCAATCTTTTTTTTTTTTTTTTTGTTTTTTTTTTTTTTGAATGATGCCTGTACGTACAGACAGAATAAAGGACTCTTTTCTGGAAAATGGATTATAAAATGGATTCAAAAGAGACTTTTTCATAACGTTTGTACGTGTAATGTACGTATGTATCCCCGCACTCCGCATAACTCAAAAACGTAGTCGTAGAACAGTAGTCATTAGTCGTAGAGCTTTAAAATGTTGTATACAGGACTGT